ATTGGCAGGTGCTGAAGAACAGCTTTCCCTGCTTTCTCCATCGCTCCAGAGCTAACGGCAGCTCACCAGCCGCTCTCGTTTGGGCAGCGGTGTTCGAAGGTGGAACGGCAGCCTTCTCCCGCTAATCAGGGGAAGAAGGGGCAGGCCAAGCCCAGGACGGGTCCCGGGAGAGCAGCGGCATGACCCTGGAGGCAGGGCCGGAGGGATCTTCGGAGGGGGACTGGAACCCGGTGGGTGTATGGGGACACTAGACCAAGCCCTGGGCTGCAGCTCGGCCTCTGCTTCGATCTGTCCCGGGAACAAGGACATGTTCTCGCTCCTCCAGCAGGTGAGGGGCGGGTGGATCGGGGCCAGCGGAGCAACCGCTTGCCGCTCTACCCGGTCAACTCTGGGCAGGCAGAAAACTGCCCCGTGCGGCTTCCCTCTTGGGGAAGGCCGCCTGTATTAACTACCGGCCGGTTCTTGGGGCAGAAGAAGGCAGCCCTGCTTTAGGGTTCCTCCGCCCCTTTGCCTTTTGGGGGCCTGGTCCGCGGGCCAAACCGGGCACATTACAGGCGACGAGCGATTTTTCCCAAGGTGTCGAAGCGGTGGCAGGGCAGGGCAGAGCAGAGCAGAGCCTGAATGCCACTTGCACGCTCTGCAGAGCGAGACCTGCAGCTGGATGACCAAGACGGGGCTCGCCGGGCCTGGGGAGGCTCCCAACGCCATGTGCTGCGCTGCAGGAGCTGCAAGGCAGACAACGGCCGTCTCTCTTCCCTTCCTTGCCCCGTTCCGCGCCTGGAGGCGGCCTGCACATTCCTGATCTTAGAACAACGCACGCCTGCCAGCGAAGCCCAGGCACGTCCATTTTGCATTTGCAAATGCGCACCAGGCCACCGGCGAGCGCCAGCGTGAAGCAGGCCCCGTGGGCCCCCTGCCCGCTGGCTCTCCTGGGGCCATGGACTCCGCCCCAAGCTGCACCGCCGGACAGGAGCGGTTCAGGATGTGGATCAAGGCCCCTGCACCTACTCTCGAGTAGGAATGCCAAGAGATGCAGCAGCCTGCCACCCTTCCAGCGCCATGTCTGCTGCGTCCCTGCCGGGCGGGGTCCACATCTGCAGCACGAGGTCCCCCGCTTTCTCATGGCCACTACCAGACGCGAGGCGTGATGGGGGGGAGCGCGTCTGGCACCAGGCCTCCTCTTACGGGTGCACGCCATTGCGATCATGTGAGAGAGCGAGGCCGCCATCCCTTCCTGCCCGCCCGTGGCCCTGATCCAATGCACGTGTAGACAAGGAAGTCCTGCAGCCTTCCCCAGCCGGCGACGTCCTCTCTCAAGACGCCCAGGGGGGCACCTTCCACAGGTGCTTTCAGACCTCACGCCGACTCTCAGAGCTCCTGCGCAAGCTGCAGGCCGTCCTTCGTGGCTCCTCGCGTCTTCCTTACCTTGGACGGACTCCAAATGGCACTGCGAGGTGCACAGGTGGACGCTGTTGTCTGGTTGCGTCTTCAGGGGACAAGTCCGTCCGTGGCCCCAAAGCAGGCGGTGCCCAAGACCCGCTCCCCAGCTTCTTCCTTCCCTCGCCTGAGCAAGAGCCAGTCAGAAACAGACGCATTTACACATCTTTTTCCTCCTCTCTCTTCGAAAACTCTTTCTCCTCTCCAGGGCGGCCGTCTTCTCCCCCCGCTCTGCAGAACTGGCTTTCCACCACCACAAGGCTGGAACGAAGCCGCAGCTAATTGCTTGCTGCAATCTTTATTTTCATAACCTTTTTATTGTTCGTGTTGTGCTCAAATGCTGGCCCAGCAGCCGGGTTGTATTTGGCCCCAAGAGGCATCTTACTGCAATCAGGAGCCAAACAGATAAAAGGAATGAAAATAACGAGGCTTCTTTGATGGGGTGGGAAGCCCAGGAAAACAGAGGCGCAAACAGCAACACCGTCCACGGCAGCTGCCCCAAACGACGCCGGGAAGCGAACACCGGGGGCGGGGGGGACTTGGGGGACTGTTAGGACAGGCCCAAAAAGCATCAGACAAGCCACACTGGATCAGGCCCGGGCCCACCTAGCCCAGCATCCTGCTCACACTGCCTCAGGCAGGGGAGGAGTGCTGCAGCACCTTGCCACCCATGCTCCCCAGCAGCTGGTGGGCACAGGTGCACCGCCTCTGCCCCAGAGGGGCCTCCTGCTGCATGAAGCTGCCCAGTCCTCTCCCAGAGCTGTCCACATTGGCGGCCACCGCCGCACCCGTGAGCGCATCCCGCAATTCTGCAGCACGCGGAGGCGGCCTCCCTTCGACCTCCCGGCTCCGGGAACCCCCACCTGCCAGACGGGGATCTGGGAGCAAGACGCCTCCCTGCCCGTTTCCTCCCCGCAGCGACCCAGGCGGCCCTCCCGTGCAAGCCCCAGGGCCTTGGCCGTGGGTGAAAGGGGACTGTGGGGCCGTCCGGCTGCCAGCTTTTCCCTGGGACAGCCTCCAGGACAGCAGGGGTGAAGACGTGCGGGCCAGGGGGCCCAAGGCGGCCCTCCGAGGGCCCCGGGGCCGCACCCCTTTCTGCCTCCTGCTGCTGCTGGCTCCCCCCCCCCCCGCCCTTCTCAAGGGCCGACACACCTCTCCTGACCTGACACTCAGGCCAGAAGCTGCCATATGCAGAGGCTGAGACGTCGCTCTGTTTTAAATCCAGGCCCCCACATGTCTTTGTTGTTGTTAGTCGCAAAGTCGTGTCCGACCCATCGTGACCCCATGGACAACGTTCCTCCAGGCCTTCCTGTTCTCCACCGTCCCCCGGAGTCCACCCAAGCTCACCCCCACTGCTTCAGTGACTCCATCCAGCCACCTCATCCTCTGCCGCCCCCTTCTTCTTTTGCCCTCAATCGTTCCCAGCATTAGGCTCTTCTCCAGGGAGTCCTTCCTTCTCATTAGGTGGCCAAAGTATCTGAGTTTCATCTTCAGCATCTGGCCTTCTAAAGAGCAGTCGGGGTTGAACTCCTTCAGGACTGACCAGTTTGATCTCCTTGAGATCCAAGGGACTCGCAGAGTCTCCTCCAGCACCTCATTCCTTTGGCGCTCAGCCTTCCTTATGGTCCAGCTTTCACAGCCATACATTGCAATAGGGAAAACCATAGCCTTGACTATACGCACTTTTGTTGGCAGGGTGATGTCTCTGCTTTTTAGTATGCTGTCTAGATTTGCCATCGCTTTCCTCCCCAGGAGCAAGCGTCTCTTAATTTCTTGGCTACACTCCCCGCCTGCGGTGATCTTGGAGCCCAGGAAAATAAAATCTGTCACTACCTCCATTTCCATGTCTTTGATTACAGATGCTTTTCTTTTTTTACTGATAACTGTGAAATTTAAAAAAATTAGACTGGCCTCTTTCTCATGCTACTTGGCATGTACATTTTGAGATGCTTTTTATGGTGTTGATTTTTACTAACCGCATCATAGTTTTGCAGTGTTTTTAGCATCGCATAGGAGGCAGATGCATGTGCCGATATTATTGTACGGGGAACCCAAACAGAAACAAAAGCAAAATTGGAGAGCAAACGAAAAGCACACCTTGTTCTTAAAGGAAGCACTTGCCTTCCACGGCAGCATCTGAAAAGAAGCTTTCCCGTGTCTCTCGGATTCAAGGAGAGGCACCTCTTTTAAAATGGACCTGCTTCAGCTGACCAGAATGCTTTTAATCTGAACTACTTCCAGGTTACAGCCCTAAATGCAGCATTAAAGAGAAAGCTGAAAACGGGTCTGAGGATATTCTGCAGATAAAGCATTCATAGGAAAGCAACACTGCATTTAAATACAACCCAATTACCTAAACGGCAAGCAAATCCAAAACAGCGCATGAAAAACACTAACATTAAAAAGCATGACCAAAGGAATGGAATCCCTGAAAGCTTTACTCTGGAGACAGTCCCTGTTTCTCGCAGCATGAAGAAATGCCAGATCTTTTAGCCAACTGGGGACTGAGCCACCTGGGCGCTTTTGAACAAAAGGCTGCTACCTGGCTGGTTTAAAATCTGCTGTATTTTGTGGCAGGGTTGGTTCCCCAGCGTTCGAAGAGCTGCATGTCCTTTCCTGCTTTTCCACCACTTGACCTCTAGGTGGCACTGTGGCACAGCCCGATAGCACAATTAGACAAGTGGAAATAGCATTTCCTTTCGCTTTCCTACATAGCACAGCATTTTCCTGCTCCACAAACTCACCAGAAGTGCTGATTAGACACAGGAGCAAAACCGGACGGTCAAGATGTCCTCCAAAGAACACTTAACATCCACAAGAAGGGAATGAGGAGCACACGAAAAATCTCTCAGGTGGGAAAGCCCCGAGAGGCACCTCTGCGGTTCCCTTGCAGCCCTGGAGGGTGTGGAGAAGCTGGACGGGGGGCTGCAGCGAGCGGCCGGTGCTGCTTCGCTGACCGGAGCCCCCGCCCAGCCTCCATGCCAAGGCGAGCCAGTTCAGGAGCCCAGCCCCACCTGCACAGAGGCGGCACCTCGCGGTCCCCATTCCTCCCACCAGGGTGCCCTGCCCACCCCACCAGCCCTTCCCAGCGGCGACCCTCAGATTCACAGTCGGGGGGCCTGTTGCCTCAAAGAGATGCCCCCATTCAGGACCGCTGGGCTGGGAGCGGGACGACAGCTGTGCTGGATCCACTGGAAAGAAGCGGGCACGGCCGAACGGGCCCCAGCCGCACTGGAAGCCTTGCCGGGTCAGCGAAAGCGGCACCTGCCCGGCCGGGTGCCAAACGGCATGTCCGGAGCCCCGCAGGGCGCTTGCGCACTGTGCCGCTTCCAACATGTCCCCCCCATGTGTGGGGATTCATGTGAAAAAGCTGGTATGAAGGATCTCACGGAAGAGCGGTGCCCATGGCAAGAATCCCGGGTCCCAAAGCCCCTGCCCCAAATTCTCCGCCAACCCCGGTCTTGGCAGCAACGCAGCTCCTGCGGACAACGTCGGAGGCACGCTGGGAGCCCCACGGCCTGGGAAGGCGCTCCGGTGGCCACGTCAGGGCTCGGGCTCGCTGGCTAGGCCTTGCTCGGGGTGGATGCAGCGCCGGCCTTCTGCGCAGAGAGGGACTGGCGGGCCTCCGTCGCCTTCTCTTCCTCGTAGAAGCCCCTTCGCATGGTGGCCACCAGGTACCTGAAGAGGCTCTTGGGGGGAGGAGGAAGGGGCAGCGGGAGAAGACAGACACGCGTCATTCCCGAGTCGCACGGACAGCCTGTCCTTTCTCCCCTGGCAAGGAACCCGAGGGCTCAGGCAGCCCTCCGCTCCAGGGGAGGCACACAACACCCCTGTGAGGAAGGTTCGGCGGGGTACTTGTGGCTGGCCCAAAGGAGATCCAGGCCGGGGGGGAGAACCCGGCTCTGCTGGCCCCCCAGTCCAGCTCCCCCCGCACTGAGCCACATGGGCTCTCTCTCTCGCGTGCCCTGGCTGTGTGGACCGGAAGAGGGCCTGCCAGCCACGCACCCCGCAGCGCAGCCTCGTGCCGGCACCCAGAGCTCGTGGCAGCCACGCGAGCGGGAGAAACGCCCTGCCCTCGCCTCGGCAACCCCACCGCCCCCTGCATGGCTTGGACTCCAACTCCCGTGCCCATGGCCAAACTGGCTGGGGATGCTGGGTGTTGCAGTGCACCGCAGCTGGAGGGCAGAAGGCCGACACCACGGAAGGCTGCTTCCTGTTAAAGGACGCGAGGAATGCCTGTTTCGGGTCTCGGGGAGCAGGGCGAGGACCCTCCTGACCAGGCCGGCCTCAGGCCCTGCACCCCGCTCCCCCCTCGCTGGCTCCCTGCGTCTGGCCTGGAAGCCCAGCCCAGGATTCCTGCCTGCCGGAGGTGCAGGGCGAGGGCAGCGCCCCCAGTTCCATGCCCCACAGCCCCCCACCAGGCCGCGCATCCTCTCCCACCTCCCCGGAAGATGCAGATCAGCTCAGTGGGTGCAGCAAAGGCCAGCGGCACCCCATTCGCCCCCCGCGCCCCCCCAGCATTCGCCGCCTGAGGCCACGGCTCAGCTTGCCCCACGGCGGGGCTGGCCGGCCGATCAGCCCGCCTGGGGAGCATTGGCAAACGCTCGTGCAGCTGCTTGGTGCGTGTCTTCCAAATTTATCCTCCGACTTCAGCATGAATCGTGACCAGATTCTAATCTCAGTTTATAGTTAATCCTGCGAGATGTTTGTGTGTGTTTGACTGGGCCAAAACGGATATAGGGGCGGCGTTCATTTCCGCTTGACTATGTCAACCTTGTCCTCTAGCATGAAACATTCAGATAATCATTCGGAAATGTCATGATCTGCTTGTGCCTTTTAAAAGCATTGCCGAAAGTCACCGTGACACCAAAAGGCGACTTATGTATATCCCGAAGAGACTTTATGGCAGGGGGCTTAGCTTCCTCGCCTTCGGGGTGGCTCCCAGCCATGTTAATCTGGCGAAACGCCCTTACCTCCCAGGCCTTCTCAACCTGTGGAGTCCACTCCTCTTTCAGAATGGGCCGGACAGCTTGGATGAACTGGGCCCCAACGTACTGAAAGGAAAATGAGGGAAGGAGGAAAAGCTGTCATTTTAGGCAGGTGTCGTCACATCACATACCCATAAAACCAGTTCCCTGGGTCCCATTCGACTCTTTTGAAACAGAGCAGCGATCCAACGAAATCTGGTGATGCATTTAAAAATGCGGCATTACAAAGGTCAACCCACGGACCCTCTTTGCGCAGAATTCCAAGCCTGGTGGATCGAACCCACGGGTGGCCGAGTTCTGGGTTGTCACAGCAGGCAAAGTCAGCCACACGGATGGCCCGTGGCTTGTTGGCCACGGACCACCCAGAAAGGCAACCCAGGCACCCAATCCGTACACCACGGAAGCGACTTCTGGGAGGCCTACCTGGGAGGGGCAGCGGGTGTGAGACATGCCCATTCTGAGTGAACAGCTGGGGGATGCCCTTCCTGGCCGTGGGGGCAGCACGACGGCGGGACCCACGCCCGAGGATGGCTGGGGGAACGGAAGATGCGGCTGCCAGCCCCCGGAGAGGGAGGGTGTAGCCTGGCGTCCCGCCCGGTGCCTCCTGGGCCCCCCCCCGCGCTGCGATTCTGCGATGCTCATGGCTCCTCTGTGCCTGCAAAACCGCCGGGGTTGACCCAACGGACACTCGGGAAGCGCTGCTGTGCCGTGGGAGCCAAGCGATGGCCGGCGGTGGGGCGTGGCCTGCGCATGCTTGAACCTGGAGCCACGCTGGGCTTGTTTCACCGTGGCACAGGGGAGACGGCAAAGAGCGGCCCGCTGCCTGCCATTCTGTGCCTGGTCCTGCAGTGCCACGAAGCCCTTCAGAGCAAAGGGAGGAACACACCGAGGAGGAGAGACGCAAACCACCCAGGCACCCGGAAAAGGAGCCACAATTTGCTCACTGGTCTGCCAGACAAACTCTGACAGAGCGACAAACCGTGGCTTCACGATGGGTTAAATAAACCACGGGTTAGTGCCCTGCCCAGCCTGGGTTCCCAAGAGGGGAGAGAAGCCATCTTGCACAGAATCCGCCCGTCTGTCTGGATCGTCCGGCTGCCCAGCACAGCCCTGGGCCCCTCTGCCCTGGTGGGGGCGAGCGTGTGTCCGCCCTCGCTCTTCTTACCTCGTAATACTTGGGAGGAGCCCTGTACCGGCAGTGGCTCCTGCCCAGCTCGAAGGCCAAGAGCTCCAGCTTGCCCTCCTCGTCCAGCCGCGCCACGCTCTTCTCCACGAACGACATCACCCTGCCAACGGAAGGACAGTGCAGGCGAGACCGAGAGGGAAGGTGGATCTGGGAACATGCACGGGCCGGGAGGCAGGTCTCCGGAAATCCGGCTGCAGGACTGGTTTCCGGATTTGGGGAGCTCCTGGCTAGGGATGGATGGGTCTTGTTAGCTCTGCTCAGCAGAGCGGCGCCACATTAAATAAATTAATAAAGCTGTAATAAATTATCAATAGCAGCCAATGCGAATTAATGCAGGTCCGAGGGAAGTGCCAGGCCAAGCAAACATGCCCTCAGTGTTGTGGGAAGCCCTCCACCCGAGGGGATTGCCAAATCTCTCGGGGGGGGAGCATTCTGTCTGGCCGGTGCCGTGACCAAGGAGGCCCTGCCCTCCTCCACGGCCAAATGTGCCTCGATGCAGCATCGGATGGGCAGAGAAGAGACCAGGGCAGGCTGTGCCGAGAGCCCCGTCCCGAGTCCTTTAAGGACCCCCCGAATCGCCGCAGCACCTCGAGCACGGCCCGCTCGACCGCTGCCGCTGGTTTTCTGCACAGGAGAGATATCGTACGTGTGGGCACGTGTTCTGCCAGCAAATCTTGCTACTGTGTTCCATGCAAGATGCAACTTCCAAACTAGTCCCAAGGGCAGCACCATAAACAGAGCAGCTCTGGTGCACAGATTACGGTGGCCAAGTTATCCCTGGCTACAATAAATCTCTTTTATTAGTAGTTCTCTGGCTGAGCAGCCGTGTGAGTATTAAGAGGTTTGGGTTGGTCTACGGCGGAATTCAGTTGAGGGGTCAGGCGCGGGGAGGCCAGCGGCTGGCCTGGAGGTCCAGCCCCATGTCAGAGGCAACGAAGAGGAGCTGAGCACCATTCTTTGAGAAGGGCATTAAGGAACTGGGACAGGCCCGGGGGGGGGGGGGGGGGGGGACCGCACAGGCCCGGAGAGCACGTCCTGCGAGGAAAAGGCAGACAGAGCGGAGTGTGTTTAGGCTGGGGAAGACACCCACTTAGAGCTGGCCCGGCAGCCACCCTCCATATCTGGAGCAGCACTGCAAAGATGGGCGAGCAAACCGGAGGCAGGATCAGGCCGGACGGGCTTGGATGGCAAGACAAATCGATTTCATTGAGCATTGAGAACTTCCTGATGGCCCTGGGGGAGGAGCTGGCCGTCTTGGAGGGCTGTGGGGCCTCCTCCATCGGGTTTTTGAGCAGGGGACCGGCGCCCACCTGGCGGCAAAGGTGCCGTGCTGGCTTTCCTGCATAGACAAGGGCCGGGCTAGATGGCCTCTGAGATCAGCCTCACCTCCGCGATTCTGCCAGTCTATCAGAAACCTTCTGAAAGCTAATCAAGGATGCCCCTGAAAGAAGGGAGCCTCGTCCTAGGATGAACTGGACAGAATGTAAAAAGAGAAAACAAAGACGACTGGACCGGCGTAGGCTGGCGAAGAGTCCGCGGCAGGACGGGATTCTGATGGTTCTTACACGTCAGGCAGCCAAGTCCATCGGTTCCATTAGAGAAGCACAGCTGCCTCCCACCCCTTTTGATGTATTGGTACAATCGAGATTAATAGGAAGACGTTACATAAACATCTCTTTTCACTCTGAAGAATTGTATACAAACCATTCCTTCCCGTAATTTTGGGGTTTTTTTGTGCTTTACTGTGATCTTGGCTGTTGAGGGAACTGATTTTCTTTCATAAAACTCCAACCATGGCTATTTATTTTTGAAAGATGGCATCTAGGGGAGGTTTGTCAGGAAACGTGGGGACAGCTACCAATGGAGAAAAGACTAGCAGGCCAGAGATGCTGCGGCAAGCAGCCTGTTTGCCTTCCAGCTCCTTGCAACTTTATACCGCCCCACGCCGAGGCATCTTGACCCCAGAATCGCTGGTCAGAGCAAACAGCTCCTTCCGATCTCCCCACTTAGGAACCTCTTTCTGCCTGTGGAAAGCACATGGCGGAACATGAGAGAAAATGTGGAACCCCAATAATTTGGGGTCATTTGTAAGCAAAAGGGCAGCAATTCAGCCCTAAACATGGAGCACGGAGCAGCTCGGATGCTTTGTGGGGAGGGGGGCTTGGTGGAGTTGTGGAGCAAGGATTGGAACAGTCTGCCCCACTGCCTGCCTACTCTTTGGAGGATAGGAACAATCTTCCCACAACCCCCACCGGCGATGGGGTCAACGGCAAAACGTAGCCAGAAGAGCGATTTAAGTCCGGAGGGGGACGCTTATGTTCCACAAATGCTCAGCTGCACAGTTGGATGTACATTTTGAAATGAAATCCACCAAATGGTCTGAGACCTAACCCTTGACCCCAGTCTAAATTAGTCACAGCACTTAATTTATATATATTTAGGCAACTTATATTCCACCATGAAAGTGGCTCCAAGGACTCTCTAAGTCCTGCCGGCTTCTTGGCCTCTCTCGGTCAAGTTCATTGGCGAGATCGTGTTCCAGCAAAGCCGCCTGCTCAGAGCGACGCTGGCTGAAGCTGCTCCCTGGGGCTGGGCGAGGCCGACGCGCGTCCCCCCCGAAAGCGAGAGCCCTTCGGGCACAAGCCGAGGGTCTCCGCTTTGCAAACCTTTTCATCGTGTTTCGTTTTTTAAACCATAGTCACACGGCCACTACTGCTCAAGCTTGCGCAAGAGTGAAAACCTCTGCGGGGGGAGCCAGCCGTCCCAGGGCAGCCAGCAGCGACCCTGACGACGCGCCCACAGAGGCTGCCAATGGGCTTTTCTTTGCTCGACAGCCGTTAAGAGGAGAGCCGTCAGGAAACGAAGGTGCGGGTGATGTTTGTACATGGAAATGGGGCAGTGAGATTGACACCCTCTTCATGGAAAGATACTCCTTTGTCTTCTTGTCTGTTTTTCCTGTCCTGTGACGATGGCTGCTCGGCTTGCATGTTTCCCTGAGCCTCTCAGGCCTGGGAAAGAGCAAATATGCTCCCCACCCCGATTCTAAGGAAAAGGCGTTTCGACAGCTAGCTACACGGACACAGGAAGCTGTGCATAGCCCCGGCAAAGCTCCCCTTGTAAAGTAGACCCAGCGTTTTGACAGCTCGCTTCCTGCTGCTATTTCTTGGCAGCTGCGACAGCACCTTTCTCCTTGCAAAGAGGCTGGGATGCAAAATTTGGGAAAGTCCTAAGGAAAAGGGTAAACTGTGCAGGGTCAGGGGAACCAAAGAAAAAGAAAGATGAGGGTCTTGCTTGGAGGGGGTGCAAAGCTCGCCACCCCCTTTTCGTGAGCAAAGGGCAGCTGCATCTTCAACAGCTAACGGCTTGTTGCTGGGTTGTTCCGGGTGGCTTGTGGCAACATCTGAACGGGGCGAGGTGACTTCGACATGGGTTGGACCAAAGGCTGCACAGTTGCCCGGTGAGGGTGGCAGGAAGCCTTCTGTGGCCCCAATTCGGGGCCGTGGCAATTTTGCAGAGGGGTTAAAAGAGGGGGGAAGCCTCAAAGAACAACGCACAAGAGCAGGGCAAGTATTTTCAGAGGGTTAACGTTCTGCAAATTCTTATGGCGCTCCATCCTACCGCAAGTATCTTCGAAAAGGATACGAAAGGGTGGATTTGACCCTTCGTGGCTCCATCGGGTCCATTTGTTAACTTGCACTCAGCGTGGCCTTTTCCATTTAAACTGGAAAATTACTCTCCCTAGTCAGTTTCGGATTCTGCATTTTTGGGTCCTGTTCCCAGCTGCACTGCACTGATCTCTTGCCATACCTCCAGCTGCGGAACACGTTTTCATATCAAATGCAGTTTAACGTATTTTCACATGCAAAATTAACTGATTCGGGGCAGATAGGAAGAGTTTCACTTTGGATCAGTTCCTGGGTTGTGATGATCATTTTTGGCCATTGTCTGCTTTGCAGCAGCTGAATAAAAAGGGCAGGTTGAGCTGCGTGACCATACCTGCGACTGAAATTTTGTTAGAATAGAGGTTTGATCTTGTTGATTTTGCAGCTTCAGAGCTACCTGTGAGAGCAAAAATCTACTTCAACTTACAGCTTATGTTTGCAGATAGTTAATAGCAGTGAATAGCGATGACACCACCGGAAGAATGGAATTAATAACCGGAATGCAATAACAAAGTCTGAACTGGAACAGCCTGTATTTTCCAGCCAAAGGAACGCTTCACTATTATCTGTTTCATAAGGGATTATGGCTCTCAGGCCATACTTAATTCAGCAAAAATGGATGTTTCAAGTAGGTCGGACGCTCTTTAGTATGGGTTTAATACAGGTTGGACATGCACATGGTGGGCATGTCATGAGCAGAGCAGGCTGAGGCCGGGGGTCAGACTAGATGGCCGAGGGGGGGGCCGTCCCGACTCGCTCTGTTTCTGTGGTTCTAATTAAACCAGTCTGTTGTTGGAGATGCAAAACTGCTAATGCATCTCTCTCTCATTCGTTTTCACAACGCCCAATGGCAGCTCACTTTGGAAGGAGGAATAATTTGGATAATTCCTGGGAAGTTCTTTAACCTTTGAAGATACACTGTTTTTGCATGAGCTGCCCATGGATGGAATCTAACGCAAGGTCAACATCAGTGGCTTTTCCACGTCCTCTTGACAGCTAAAAGACTAATATTACAACATTGGAAGGATAAATGAGCCACCTGCAACAACACGCTGGATGGAAGATTAAATGAAGTTTCCCATTTTTCAACAGGTGCCCTTTGGCCTAACTTACACGTGAATAAATATGAGGTTGCCTGTAGCGCCTTCGCCAAAGGAAATGCTGCACTGCTTTTTAATAAGACTAGTCCGCTCCATAATTAAAGGAACCCACAATGCCCAACTAACTAGTGCTGTCGATCGTTCTCTTGAACACTGTTCAAATACTGGTTTCCTTCTTTTTATGGTGCGGTCTGCTTGTTTTTCTACTGCATCATAAAAATAAGTCATAATCAAAAGGCACCCATGGATGGGGAATGTCATTGGTTATGAACTCCAGGGCAGATGTGCAGCAAGAGCTTTTTTTAAGAAATAAGAGGAATCGCCCTGTGGCCGGAGCACGAAGGTGCCGCGAAAGGCTTTAGAAACACGCGCGTGCTGGATTCAAGTCCTATTTCTGAAAGCCTTTGCAGGTGGGCGCCAGGCAGGGGGCTGGCAAAGTTCCCCCCGGAGCCGGAAAAGGGAGGAAGCCCCGAGCCCTGAAGCACCCCGGCCGCGGACGCGCTGGGTGCTGGGCACAGGTGAAAGGGCCACGGGGGGGGGGGGGGGAACGCCCGGCAAGCGGCAGATGGCCAATCGTCCACCGGAGGACTGCGGCTGAGCAACTGTGCACCAGCCTTGGCGGAAGGACGGGGTACAAATGCTTGCAATAAATAAATGCAATGCATAAGCCCGCCGTGGCTTCTTTGGGTACGGCCTCTGCCGGCAGGCAAACTGCCCCTGGCACCCTTGGGGCCGATTTCTTTGGGGCAAATAGTTGAAGACCTTCCTTGTGGACGTGGAGCAGGCGGGAGGCCCAGAGGGAAAGACCCCGCAGCTTGACTCTGGCGCGCCTGTGAGTCCCAGCGTCTTGTCAGCTCAAGCGAACTTTGCGGCTCCCGCGCAGCAACTGCCCAAGAACTTGGAAAAGGGCTGCGGACACACGTGCAGAATCCAGGTCACCAGTGCGCGGTTTACTCTGCTCCTTAACATCTTGATGTTTCTGGGGCTCGTGGTTCAACAAGGAAGCGTCTGACCCCGGCTCTGTCACTCAGTGGCGTGCGAAAGAACGTGGAGCCCTCTGGGACGGGGCTGAGAGTCCACGGCTGCTCCCGGCAGCGAGCCACAACCCCTGGGAAGCGCAGCCCCGTCCGGCACGGCCTGGATCCTTTCCCCCGCCCTGCCCCACGGGACGCGATCCGACCCGCCCTTTCTCTCCGGTCTCAGGGCAAGGGCCAAAGCCAGGCTGGCCCGCCCTGGCCCAGGCGAGCAGCGATGCCATGCCCCCCTCCCGGCCTCCCACCCTGACACGTTTACCTCCCCTCCAGCGAGCACCAGCGAAGGCATGGGAGACCCCGTCGCTGTGCCCTCCCTGAGCGCAACTGCCTCCCCCGCTGCCCCTGGCACCCGGGGTCGCTGCTCACCACCTCCGCCCTCCACCTGCGGGCCTGGCCCAGCCGCCATGGGCGCGCCTGCAAAGCTCTCGCACAATGCGCTCTGCCGGGAGCATGCGCAGTTGGCGGCCGTGAGCCTTTCCCCTGCCGAAACCTGCACAGGTCACCCCAGCCGTGCGCTGCAGGCGAGGGAGGCACTCGCTTGCCCCCCGCCCCGCAAGGGGGACTGCAGCGGCTGATGGGGGCGCCCGAAGCCCCACAAACCAGCCAAGGCCCCCTGACCCGCCGGCGAGAAGGCGGGTGCGTGACCCGGACCCGGGGGACGTGGACCCGTGGCCTACCTGAGCCCGTGAGCTTGCAGCTCCTTGTTCATCTGGAGCTGCTGCAAGTCCTCGATGTCTCGGAAGAGGAAGAAGGCGTCTTTGCACTCCGGGTGGGTCTCGAAGAGCCTGGAGAAGGAGCAGGAGGCTGTCAGGGCGCCGGACACAGTGGCGACCCCGGGAGAACACCGGCGGTCCATCTGGGCCAGCGTTCCCAACCGGGGAGCCCGCAGACGCGTCATGGCGCGACGTTAGGAGCCGCAGTCCTAACCGGGTGTCCCTTTGGGAAGGCTGCCTCCAGACATGCCTTTGCCACTCCTTGCCCTCTCTGTCCCAGAGGCACAGTTAAAACATAACCCCGCTCAACCAAATATCCAAGAGCTCCACCGAGGCCAAGGAATGACGAAGCCACTCTTAAAACAGTGGAGTTTCAGCGCCGCACCTTTCCAGTATTTGAAATGCAACCCACTAAATGCCTGGAGAATAAACATGCCTCACAGGATGCCTAAAACAGAAGGCGGCCCGTGCAGGCTGGCCACTGTGAGGAGCAAGGCCCAGAGAAGACCCCGCTTGCTCTACCTGGGGCACTTCTGGCAGGCTCAGGGGGGCACCTGGGCAGGGACAAGGGCTGGGGCGGTTCACAGGGGAGGCAGTTCCCCGAGGAGCCCGGTGCCGAGCCGCAAGGACAAACGCCACCACAGGGAACTGGGCTGGGAAGCAAGCCCGTCCCCGGGGAGGCCCCTCAGCAGAGCCAAGACCCTCTTGCGCAGAGCACGGGACCCCCAGAGGGGAGGAACACGGCGAGGTGCCTCATGCTGGAGCATTAGGGCCCCCGGGGACTTAGCCTTGGCAGGTTCTCCCCAACTCTGCTCCCCCCAGTTCAAAGGCAGCCTTTGGACTCTGCTGTTTTGTCCAACAAGCAGAACAGGCCTGCGGGCCCTGGGAGAACATCTCGGCAGCCGTGGAAATGTGGGGCGCCCCACCGGGGCTGCGGACACTCCGACTCAGCAGTGGGAATGTGGCATCCGAGGCTGGGCGAGGCTCTGGGAGACTTCGGGGAGAGGGGGAGGGAGGGGAGATCGGGGACTGTCTGGGTGGCTGTACCACCCTGGCTGTGCCTCCGTCGCTCGCTCGGTTTCGTGGGTTTCAAAGAGGGCCGGAGGCAAAGCCGCCTCCTCCCGCCGGCTGGCAGGCCTGGCAGGGCTCGGATCCCGGCAGCCTGTTCCAGGAACGCTTCCATCCAGCCAGCCCCCACGACGGAGCAACCAACATGCGAGCCGGCAGATCGCCTGGGAGCTGTTGTGCAGCTATTCGGGGCCTCGTCCGTCCGTGAGACAGAATCCGGCCTGGGGCCACCGGGGGCGAACTGCGCAAACAACCTGGGCCGATCAGGTGCTGCCTGCTGCAGGCCAAGCATCTGCCGGGTCGGCCCGGGGCTGGCCAGCCGGCCGCTGCGTCCCAAGCCGCGCTGCCCAGCCGCCCCCAACGCGCGGCCCCGCTGTGCTGGGCGCACGCCGAGGTGCCTCGCCCAGACAGCCCTGCCAGCTCTTGCGAGCTCGGGGCTGCGGCCTCCTTGATGGAGCGGATCCACCCCGCACAGGGCTTCCCCTTCTTCCCCCCCCAGGATCGCCCCCCCCCCCCGGGAGTCTCGCCTTGCCATGATGCGCCCAAAGCACAGCAGCTTCGCTTGTGTCACACCCGCTCCCAGGGCACGTTCTGGCTCAATCTGACCCAGGACCCCCTGTCAGACCAGGGAATTCGCAAAGCCCCCCCCCCCGCCCCCGGCACAGTGCTCTGCATGGATCCGCTTCCTTCTCCGCCCAGCGTCCACACCCAGCCGGAGCGATCAGGACTGCCAGGCAGTGGGCGATCGGGGCTCCAGCCTCCAGTGAAATGTCCTTACATCTGAGAATCTGACAAGGACGCCGGAGAATCCAAAACCAGGCCTGTGGCTCTTTCCCGCTATTGACCTGGATATTCCGAGACACGTTGCTTCTGGGCTGTTTGTGGCGGAATCATAACTCCTCGCCACTGAGGACCTCTTCATCCGAAAGCCATTCCCACTCCCCTTGCGAGTCCTGAAGCTGAGACCATCACGACTCGGGTCACACCGTGTTCCTGGATTTAGCCACGTCCTGCCTTTATCTGCTCCGAATCGTCCACTGTCCTTGGATGTTCCAGGCTCCCACAGTATGACAACCCTCTTCTTCCATGCCACACGGAATCTGATGCGCAGACCAGCCCCCTTGCCGATGTGTGGGAAGGGGGCTGGCCCACCTCTGAGGGGGTTAAAAGAACCCCACCAGGTAATGCCCACCGCACCTTGGAGGCTTTTCAGGATGTGCTTCCCAACTTCATCCAATGAGAGCCCCATAAAATGGTGGGCGTGGGACCAGGAACGCAGGCGTCGCAAGAGCGGACCCTCAACTGCGGAGCAAAGGGGTGCCAAACACTTTGGATCATCCGCTACTTCTTCACTCCACTCACAAGCTGCTTTCTAAAGAACCAGAACCAGCTGAACAGCGACTGGGCTCTCTCCACTTGGGGCCCTGCAAAGACCACTAGTATCTGCTAGCGCTTGGTCCAAGTGTCTTGAAAAACCCGCCCCAGCCCCACGCCCTTTCCCCAGCCCGTCACACGCAAGCCTGCACATGTCTCCGCGTGTTCTAAAACAGTTTTCTAGTGCGATGAGCGTCAAATGAAACCACGCCGGCACGCCTGGTGTCTTAATTCTTAACGCACCTTCAGCCCCTGGGCCCGGCACACCCCGAGCCTGGCCCCGGAGCCCCTCTCTCCCGCCGTGCAAGCGACTCCGGCACCCAGTGCATTGCTGGAGCTTCGCATTCTGTCAACAGAAATTGTGTTCAGCACGAACTAGCCCACAGCAGGACCAGCAGAGTTCTTCTGCCCTCGCTTCAGGAGCTCCTTAACATCACAACCGCCGACAGACTGACTGTGTCACTGCAGGAGAAAGAAGATACTGATTTCTGTCAAACCTGGGACTCTTTTTGTCATTGGCTAGAGAAACGGGATTTCATATAGATTTAAATCTGCTTCTAAGTTATCACAAATGGAAAAAAGCGTTGGAGCTGACCGACAGGTCCGATATTTCTGATGATTGAAGTTGTTTTTAGTTTTTCTTTGTTGTAGGGTTATTTTGAATAAAACTTATTAAAAAAAAAAACCATTGCAACTGCCAGAGTCGAGACAGTTCTTGGATCAACTGTGGCCAGAGCCCCGCCAGCTGGATGTGCCCTTCAGCATCCTTCTCAGTTATGTCACTCCAAGTTTATCTGCTTCAGAACTGCCTCCACCCACATCCTGTTCATGCAAAATCCTATTATTTTTGACACTATTGATGTGGTGGTATTACTCCGTGTGGGCTTAATAAAAGTGGAATCCAAACTCAGCAAAGAATGCAAAGAAGAGCCAGTCCTAACTCAGCAAAGAATGCAAAGCTTAAGAGCCAATGGCTACCCGCCCGCCCCCGGCAAGCGCCCCCAGGGACGTCCTGCCGCCCCTGCAGCTCACCGGTGCTTGGCGCTGGGGGGCCTGGGGCCACGCCCAGTGCCGCAGTGGTTCCCGGCTGCTCCCACTCCCCTCTTTCAGGAATGCCTCCGGGACCTTGCAGGGCTACGGGGCAATCGGCAAAGAAGGCCGGTGCTGCTGCAGAAGGCCATGCCTTGTCTGGCAGCCTGCAGGCGGGGATGCCGGCGAAATCCAAAGGGGGGCCGGTCCAGCCGGAACCAGGTGGTCGCCTGCGAGCACCGCGGGGGGCGCCCCAGGCGACCGACACGCCAGCCTTGCCACGCGCCCGAATGGGCATGTTCTTCAGACTGATGCAAATGGGAAGGGTCTGGAGCGCTTCTGCGGCGTCACGCCTCCTTCTGTTCCACCGTGGGACAAAGTCTTTCCAATGATTTAGAAAGCTCCAGGAACCAGCGAAGGAGTCAAGCGGCAGAAATCCCTTCCCGCCACCTGCTCCGATCCATCTGCTCCGCTGGCTGATGGACGCAGCTTTAACGGGGCCGTTCGCCGCCGTGCCGGGCAGCCCGAACAATTAGGAGAGGAGGGAGAGCGGCAGGAGAGACGGACCCCCACGGGAGGGGGTGCCAGTGGCCTCCAGGGTGGCCTAGGGGATGTCTGGGAGCAGCGTTCTCAAACCGCGCCTGCTCCGGATGCAGCGTGCGGAAGAAGCCTGCGGCCATCCGAAACGCTGCCGGATGGAGCGGTGTCGATGGCTAGGAAGCTGGCTGCGCAGCCACCCGCGGGAGCACCAGCAGGGGGCAGAAGCGAGTCGCGAAGGGGCTCTCCCAGCAGTGCTATCTGGAGCTGGAGGACCGATGTGTCTCGTCACCCCCCCTTCCTGGCCGGGCACTGGAAACATCCCGGCTGAGACCCAGAGAGGAGAGAGAGAGAGAGATGGAGGACGGCAAGGAAAGGAGAGGAAGAAAAAGCGCAAGGCCTGGCTGATGCACAGGTGCCCTGAAACTGTCCTGGTGGGTCTGTCTTCAAAGGGCCCAGTGTCCTAAGGACCCCCCCCATTTGTAAAACGGGATGCAGAACCGTGGCGAGGAGGGCGGTTGAGTTTAAGAAAAAAGGAAAGATCAGGGTGGAGAAGCACAAAAGGCACACGTGCAGCTTGGGGCGGGGGGAGATGGTGCCAAGCTCAAAATGCAGGGGGACTGGCCACCCCCAACTCCGCCTCTGCTGCCTGGACTTTTCAGCCAGCGCTTTGCGCCCCGGGGGGCTGATCCGACTCAGAATCACACGGCTGGAGCCAGCATCTGGCACCAGCAGGTCCCCTGGTTTAGCCTCCCTCCTATAAAAATCAAGCCTCTATTCTTTATTTTCCTTTTTCACATTTTGCAATGCAGTCGCAAAGGCCAATGTTTCTGCAGGCCTCGGAACAGCATGAAGAACACGCCCGGACTGCCTGAGCTTGTTTGTCCGAAAACAGTTTTGCAGCCATGCTCTCCCCCTGAGAATCCTGGGAATCCCAGCCTAGCCAGGGATGAGGGGAATTCGGCGATGGGGAGGCAGCAGACCACCCAGAGGAGGAACACCACTTAACCCCGACCGGGACATGCCAAGTGCTTCCATCACTGCGCAGCTCTTGGAGACGGAGGAGACAGAGCTTTTCCTGCACAAAGCGTCTATCATGCAGTTGTGCTGCCTAGTTGTGGATGTTCGCAGGTACACAACCCGCCGTGACCTTCCAGTTTTGCATCTATTTGAAAACAGCACGCTTTACGAGCCTTTTTCAGCTTAAGGGGAGTATTGTCTTTGATGGTGAAAGAAGCCGTCATCGCTACTTGTGTGTTGGCACTGCTCTGTGCGACTATAGTGCCACCTAAGGGTTATGTAGAAGAAAAGCAGGGACTGCTCTTGGTGTTTCGGTTGTTCCACACAAGTTGTTCACTGGCTGGGAATCCACAGTATCTGCTTTCATATTCATTGCAGAATTGAGGTCTGAATGCTACGCAAAGAGTGTTTCCTTTCTTGCTTTTTTGATCCATAAGCTCCAGGTGTCATTGAGGTAAAGCAGAACAGCGCCAATGCAGAAGAAGAATTTCACAATTAAATGCCACGTTTTCCCTGATTTCAGGCGAACAAGCAACCTTGCTGAAATGCTGGCTTAGCTCAGGAGGCGAACTAGAAGGCTGTGCTGTCAGCCAAGGAAGGAGCACACAGCTGGCCAGCCAGCCAGCCAGCCAGACGAAGGCCTGGCAGGTGCACCATAAAAGCCGCGAGCAGAAACGCTGAAACGAGCAGCAGCAGCTTGCGGAGAAAAGCTTACCATTCGCCACTGCTGTGCGGCTCAGAAGGTCTCTCCCCTCTTTCGGTCCAGGTGAGGCCCTCTAATGCCGCAGCCCGTCCAAGAGATGGCTCAGCGGTCGTCCGACAGAAGCCCGCAGGATCCAAGAGCTTGCCTCCAGGAGAGCATGTCCGTCGTCGCCCTCGAAGCCCCATTCTGGAAGCAGGAGCTCGTCCCACAACGGAAGGCGGTCGGCCTGCAGCTCCCCGCGATCTCATGCAGCCGCCGTCCAGCAACATCTGGAGGTCAGCGCATCCCACGCTCCTTCTGCATGATTCATTCGGTCGGCCACCCAGCCCTGCCCTGCCCTGCCCGGCCGTGGCCACCCGGACTCTCTGGAGCTGGGAGCGCCTGTCCCACCCTGCTGCCTCTCCCCGCTGGCCTCCGTGGCGCCCTCCTCACGCAAAGCACGGACACCCGCAGGAGCGGGCCCCTGCCCGAGACACCCGCTCGGGTCCTTCGCGCTTCCAGCAAGACGTCTGGTGCGGCTCCGGGACGCGCGCTTCCAGCTGCCCCGCTCCGAAAGGAGAGCCGCCCACCATGAACGACAGCGAGGGATCGCCAGGTCCTGTTCCAGAAAACTGGGGAGGGGGCACCCTCCAGCCCCTCCGCCTGAGGAAGATGTCCCTTCCTGTTATCTGCCTCCCTGGCCCAGGCTCGCTGCCTCCACACCACCTTGAGATAGCGAGACACAAACCAGACCCCGGAAAAATGCGGCGCAGCTCCAATGCCGTCGCTTGCGCCAAGACACTCCTCAGAGAGGGGAGACGGACACTCTCGCTTGCTCAGGACGCCGGGGCTTATTTTGCTGATTGCATTTCTCAAAATCCAGAGGACTCCGGTTCCTGATCTAACAGGAACCTGAGGTTCTGTCTAAACTTGCTGCTACAGAAGAATACCTCTGAGCATGTGCAAACTGCACTCATCTTCCCAGCTGAATCAGGACAAACCGCTGCCAACCTCCACGCACGTGTGTTTGGAAGCCCTTCGCTGCATCCTCCCTCCCTCCGGCTCTGCACTGCTCTTCTTTAGAAGTTTACCCAAATGCCCTTCTAAAATCGGGGGGGGGGGCTCCAAAGGGGGCAAGGCGAGGCCAGCACCCCGCACAGCACCTTGGGTAATGGTGCAAACCCTCCCGTGCAAACTCCAACAGGCGACTTGGGGCCAGTCACAGACTCTTGGCCCAGCCTACCTCACAGGGTTGTTGTTACAAGGATAAGATTGAGAAGCGGGGGGAGTCTGTGAGTTTCTTGGAAGGAAAAACGGTGGGATGTAAACTTAACAAATAAGGTGCTCCCTGGGCCTGTGACACTGGCTGGACTCGAACTCGGGGCCCTTGGTCCTTGAGCGAGCAGAGCTACGAGGGAGGCACGGGTTCAACTCCCGCCTCGGCCAACCCGCCAGGGAGGCGGCGACCCCAGCAGCCGGGCTGGCGGGCCTGCCAGGTGTGGGTCGGGCAGATTTACGTCTGCAATAAAATCTATTTACCGCCCTTCCTTACATGGTTTGAAGGACCCTGATCCGTATCTGAAGGGCGCTGAGCCCTTCGAGAGAGGCACCGGGACGGCTATTCATGGTCAGGAGGAGAAGGCGGAGCACGGCAGAGCCAAGGCTCCAGTTCCAGCAGGCAGAGCTCCCGGATGGCCCAGCCAACAGGCGGCTCCTGCCCGGAGCATCCGGCCAGCTCGGAGGCGGCCGCCACCAGAGGGCCACCCACTGGGGACTCCCCACGAGGCGCCCCGCTTTCTCTTAGGCAGGGGCCGTGCTCTCTGAGCATCAAGATCTGGCTGGCAACAGCTCCCTTTTGGCAGAGACGCAAGCCAAGCCCGAACCCCCACCCGCCCCCTGAATCCGGGTTTCTGCATTGGGTGCGTTGATCGCCTTCCTGCGAGGGGACACGGATTGCCCTGCTGAGCTGCAGGAGACAAGTCCAGCCGTGGGGACTTGGCCCCTTCCTGTGTCCAGAGCTCAGGCAGCAGCGAAGGCTGCGCAGAGAGCAAGGAGATGCTCCGTTAGAGGCGGCCAGAGGCGAAGCTACGACGTGGCGGAAGGTCTTGAGTTGCGACGAGGGAATAACAGCCGGCAGGGGGGGACACGGTCTCAGACCTCACACTGATTTGCACCAATGCAACGTGCCAGCCTGGCACCCAGCGCTCAGCTCTGGGATCTCCAGATGCATCCCTGAAGGTCACCTTCGTCAAGCCAAACTGTCTCATCCGAATGGCAAAACTATTCACAGCAGCCAGAATGGAAAATAGGAGCTTGGGGGAAAATAAGGATTTTAACCGGGGGCAAATTAAACACTGCAGCTCTGTTGCCGTGGCAGAAAATGCCCCTTCCAGAGGAGGAAAGGGCCAAAATCTCACTTCTCTGCCGAGAGCCGCATAGTATCTCCCCGGCCCCACTGCTGCTTGGGTCTAACCGTGTGCCCACAAGCGGCAAAGAGCATCTTCCGTCCTGCGATCTAGCTTGGCTTCTCAGTTTAGAGAGAGACACGATAAAGGTCTCCCTCGCCCCCTGGGAGCAGCGTGGGAGAGCGCACACACTTTCAGTTCGCAACTCTGCCCTGTGTAGGCATTTTTTGTTGTTTCAAGAGGGCAAATTTTGCCCTGGGGGCAAAATTAACGTGAGACACCACAGTGCGGGAAGCCGGGCCTTTCCCAAAGCTCAGTCAGCTCTCTGAAAAACGGCTGTTGCTCCGGTTCTCTAAAAACACGAGACTTCGCTGCTTCGTCTCTGCAAGGCCCAGTGTGGACGCGAGTCCATCCGTTTCGCACAGGCTGAAAAGCACCCGGCAAAGTGACCCCCATTCCCCGAAGGCTGCCCAGAGCAATCGCCCCCCCCGCGACTCAGCAGATCAAGCCCTTGGCCTGGGCAGGATGGAGCCTACAGTAACCTCCAGGGAACCGCGTGAGCTGAACCTGTGGAATTCCAACCCGCTGTGAGGCTGCGCAGCTCCGGCTCCGGCGCCTGCCTTCAAACAAAACACGAAACCAGCCCTTACCTGATGAAGACGATGATCCCAACCCTCACAATGTCCTTGTGCAAGACCTCCCAGGACTCCCGTACCAGCGTCTTCTGGGCCTCCGAGAGCTGGAGGGGTTCCAGGGTCCCCCCGTTGCCCAGGCACCGCGCTTCCTTGCTCGAACCCAAACCGCCCTCCAGCGCCAAGCAGGGCCTCCCTTCGGCGACAGCCGGGTCCGATGTGACGTCCGGGCTGGACAAGGCGCATCCCATCTTGCTCCGGCCTTTTCTGGGTCCCCAAGGATGCGGCTTGCGCAAATCTTCACCGGTACCTAAAACCCAAATTGACTTTAGACCACGAAGCGATGGAGCACTCATCACAGAGAGGGAACTTATGGCAGAGAACGTGGCCTGTCACACGCCAAGGAAGCAAAGGCTCCAAACTCCCCCACACTTAGTGCCATCCAGATGTGTTGGATTGGATTTCCATCTTCCCCAGAGCCTTGGGCTATATTGACTGGGACTAATGATGGGAACTGCAGTCTAATGCATCTGGAAAGCATCAGAGGCTGAATCGCGTGGGTGTTGGGAGCAGAAACGAGCCAAGCTTTGGATTCAAGGACCTTTCTCGAGGGAGGCCTTTCCCGTGAAATGCCCACCCCATGCGAGATCGTATGGCACTCGTCATTTGGGCATCAGGAGACCTCCCCCGCCCCCGACACCAGGCCTTTTAATCAGCTCCAACTCTGCTCTTTTAACCCCTGTGACTCACTTGTGCTGCTTTTACAAGCTTGATTTTTTTTAAACCCGTTGACCTGTTTTATTGTACGCATTTTATCACTTGCAAGGAAGTCTTTGAACGCCTGAAGCAAACGCGGGAGTGCAAAAGTATCGAGACCATTTGAGATCTTGCAGTGGGTGGCTGGGGAACCGTCGGCTCCAGCGGGAGCCAGCCTGCTCTCGCGTCCCACCCACCACCTCCACTGGGGCAGACGGACAGTCGAGGGACGCTTCCCCGCTGGCACCCGAAGCCCCTGTGCTGCCAGGAAGATCCGGATCCAACGCCGGCAGCGTGCGAGGTGGAAGCTGCGCCAGCCTCTGCCCAAACGGCTTGCGGCAGCCGCTGCCCAGTGGGCCAAGACAAGGGCAGATGGAGAGACCGAAAGGCTCCTGGATCGGGGGGCGGGGGGGGGGGGGGGGGGGGGGGGGGGGGGCAGGAGGAGGTACAACCCAGAAAGCCGCAAGCGACGGGAGAGAAAATCTAAAAGGCAATAAATAAAAGGCCCGTCATTGCCCGCAGAGCAACAAGCCTCGGCTCGCTTCTGGGCACAGACACAACGACGGCCACTGTCAATTCCAGCTTTATTTATTTCAGGCTGGCTATCCTAGGAGCTCTGAGCAGCTTGCATGAAAAACAAACATGCAACATAAAACGCCCTGTGACATCACACACACCGTTTGAACAGACAAAAGTCCTACAGGTGTAAGACTGCAGCCTACACTCTTTGCCACAAGACCCCCAATGTGGGGCAGCGTCCCGGACGATGACGCCCTGGGCAAATCTGAGTGACGAATGCCCACCTGCCGAGGTTTCTGCCTCTCGAAGCGCATGGGGTTGAGCATCCCCGGAGGTGAGGTCTCTAGCAGGAGGGTCCGTTTTATATGCTGTGACACCGTGACACACTGTTGGTCACGGGACATCCCGTAAGGCCATTTCTAGCACACCGACAGGATGCACAAGATTTTGAACCCTGGCCCCTGCACATCGGCAGTTCAAATACTTATGAGTACACAAACTGCAGCAGGCAGCCAGGGGGCAGCCAGAGTTGGAAACAACGGCAGAGCCAGCTGTGCTTAATGAAGCCATCCTGTTCTTAAAAGTTCTCTGCCTGTGCTGTGGCTGCAGCTTTAAGAGCTTTTCCACACAGAGCAGTTAATCCACTTTATCTACCTCCAGTTTTCCCTTTCCTGCCTTTCTGCTCCATACCTCTAGGTGGCATTGTGGAGAGGCAGAAAAGCACAACTCACAAGAGAAAAATGTGTTTTCCTTCACCATCAAAAATAATAACCCATTTCCTCTGCTCTTTAAAAAAGAAGAAAAGTTGTTTTGATGTTGTGACCCTCACCCCCAGTCTTGCTTCTATTTGTAAACAGCACTTTTGAAAATATTTTCCCTGCCTTTACAAAACAAAACACCCAAAAAACAATAGTTACATGTAGAAAAGCTTCACCTGACAGATAATTATAATAAATTAAATATGCAATAGACTTAAGTGACTTGCTTTTTAAAAATAATGCTGCTGCTGAGCTTCCATGGTGCTCTCTGAGGGACCCCTAAATGCCATGGGTGGTTAAACTAAAAAAGAACTGCGATGAGAGCCAGTGGGATGCGGGGGTCAGAGTGCTGGACTGGGAACCAGGAGATCCGGGTTCAAGCCCCCTCTTCCAAGAGAATCCCTGGGTGACTTTGGGCCAGTCGCTCACTCCCAGCCCAGCCCGCCTCACAGGGACGGTGCTCAAACCACGGAAGCTCCTTTGGATTCCTCACAGAGGGAAAAGGTGGAGGATAAATGCAGTGCAGGAACAGCGCCACTGAGACTCTGGGCACGGGCACTTTTCACTTTAACGAACCAGTGGAAACCTAAAGGAACGAAGCAACCTAGAATGCCTTCATTTCCGGCCAGACCGCGGCAGGCACGTGCTGCCCCTGCACTAGCGCCAGGCGTGCGCAAGGCCAAGCCCCCGGGAGCGCGCAGGAGACCAGGCCTGCCTCGGGAGGGAGGGAGAGCGGGGACCGCCGCGGAGGGGCTCCGGGCGAGGGCCGCCCTCGAGGAAGGGGCTGGGGAAGGCAGGGCCCGGAGGGGCAGCGAAGCGCCAGGTGCGATCGCAGCGGCCACGTCCAGCTGGCCAAATCCCACTGAGCGCAGCGGGATTTGCTTCCGGTAAACAGGCCCAGAACGCGCCCTACCCAGATCAGACCGCGATCCTGAAATGGAAGGGGGAAACCCAACCAAAGACACAAAATAACCGCGCGCGGAAACCGCCGCCCTTCCCTTCTGCTCCCCGCCGTCCGTGCCCCTTGCACAGACCGCCATTAAAACGCCCAAGTCCAGATTACTGCCGTACCTGTATTTGAGCAACCGAAAGAGCACCGAAAATGCGCAAGCTTTCCAAACCGACAGAGTTCGTCGAGGAAAGTGTTGCGAAAAGCAGGAGGTGGGGAAGGAGGCGGCGAGGGGAGCCCCGCGCTCGACGGCGGAGTCGCCGGCAAGCTCCGCGCCCCAAGCCAGGTCTGCGCGGCGTAGCGCTTGGGAGCTCCTCGGGGCAGGGGACAGAGGGCTGCCCGTCCCGCTTCCTGCGCTCGTGAGGCGCCGCCCCAGGCGAGGGGCAGCCGCGCGGAAGCCCACTCGGGGGATGCGCGCCGCGCGGCGCAACGAGGGGCGAGGGGCTGCTTACCGCGCCAGCGCTCCTGCGCCAGGAGAGGGGAGTGGAGACGCGCAGCCGGGCGGTTCTGCCGGGGGACGCGCTCGGCTCCCGCCCCCCGGCTCCGCGTCCCAGGCGCGGCCCCGCGGTCCTAGCGGCGGCTGTTTTGTCCGGCCCGCCCCGGCCCGCCCCCTTCCTCCAGCTGCGGGAGACCCGGGCCGCGCCCGCTGCGGGGCCGGTGAAGCCCTCGGAAGGCACGTGCCGTGAACGGGCGGGCGCGGGGGGCTGCGCTGGCTCGGTGCGTCGCCGGTGCCGCGCGCTGCGGGCCCGGGAGCTGCTGGCGCGCGCTCCCGGAGAAGCAGCCGCTCGAGTTCCCCCAACCTGCGCCCACGTGGGTGAGCGCCGGGCGGCGCGGCCACGCAGAGGAGGTCGGCCTTCCGCGCCCCCGCCCCACACGCACCTTCCCTGTGTTGCGCGTTGCCCGGGCAGAGCCGCCGACGTCGCCGCGGACGGCCCACGGTGCCCTGGCCCGGGCCCGGGACGAGTGCGGGAGGGACTCTTCTTCCAGGCCCCGCTGCCCCAGCCGGGGAGAAGCGGGGCGCGCGCGCCTGGCCCCGGGATTCCGGAAGCGATGCGCAAGGGGTTCTTCGCGCATTCAAGCGCTATCCAAGAAAAGCAGGGCGCAGACGGGGCCGCCCTCCCGCGACCGGTGGGACAATGGTCAGGCGTCGAGGCGCGCCCTTGCGTGACAGGCGGCCCACGAGCATGGCCGAGTTTTCTGCTGGCTTTCCATGGCTTCTCCCACGGGATCCCAGGGAGAACTCGCTGGTCCCCTGCCCGGTTCCCAGGATTCCCCACGAGGAGGCAGTGGCTTTTAAAGGATTCTCCCTTCCTCTGTTTGGCTACCTTTTTGAAAACGCAACTGCACGTTATTTACCAGTAATATTTCTCTCGTTCTGGGTGTACTATATTCCCGTAGCACTTTTCCACCGGGACCCCGTGAACCAGACTGGGACCCCCTTCCAGCCTGGTCCATTTTCTCGAACTCGGGCCCCAAATGCCAGGCCGGTTTGGAGCAAAGAGGAGCTTTGGCTGGAGAGTAAAACAGAACCAGGGAAGTGGGCCAGGCCACACGCTCCTTGCCTAGGGTGAGTTCTCATATATACCGAAGCTGCAGCGTTTTCAAAAGCACCGGAAATTCTGCGTATCTCTCAGTGGGCCCTGAATCAGCCCAGGAATGACTCTCTTCGCTTCGCTTCTCCTCTCTCTGTGTTCTTAGAAAACAATGCTTCGCTCGTCCCAGTGCCCGGCACCTGTCGGCTGCTCCTGCTGGCCGCGTCCCCTGCCTCTTCCCAAGTGCAACAGCCGAACTGTTGCTGTCCAGGAGGAAGCCGCCGACTGCCCCCTGGATGCTCGTGGCAGCGCTGCCAGGGCCGGCCTCGCACCTCCCACTGCTCGGTGGCATCTGGGGGGGCTGCGAGGCCGCCCCCCCCAGCCTGGGCTCTGTCGGGCATCGCTGTCGCTTCAGGGACTGGTGAACGTGCCGTTCTCCCAAGCCGTGCAGAAGCTCGGGAGACGGTGCCCCAAGAGCAGGCTTGCCCCTGAGCATGGCGTCCAGAGGGGTAGCCGGGCGAGTGGCAAGAGCCACGTGGCCCCCGTGGCACCTGGAAGGCGAACGATGTCTTAGTGGGTCAGATCCGTGGGCTACAGATGCTTAGGACTGCCTTTGCCAACCTTGTGTGCCGGACAGCAACTCCACGTGGTTCTGTGTGCGCTGGCCAGGCTTGCTGGGAATGATGGGGGTTGTAGTCCAGAACATCTGGAGGGCAGCAGGTTGGGGAAGGATGGCG